GTGTTTGTGTATGTGTGTTTGTGTATTCATATATTTGTGAGTGTGTGTGTGAGTGTGTGTTTGAGGTACAATAGAAAGAGCCAGGACTAAAAAGTCAGGAGAACCTTGTCCCCTTTCTGCTTTGCCTCAAACTCACTGCTTACTCTTGGGCAAGATGCTTCTGAGTTTCACTTTTATCCCGAGAAACCTCACAAGGGTGATGTGTCCCCTCTGTGGTCCATGTTGGAGACAGAAACATGTGGAGAATGGCAAACATGTGTCACTGTTGGTGGGGAGGCCCAAAGAGCTGGGGTGGAGCACAGGGCCCGCGGATTTCACTCCCCAGGTGCCTCACACACCCTACCCTGGTCCTGGCCCCGCCTCTACCTTCAGTTACACGCACCTTCTCTCTAAAGGAGGGATGAGATTTCATTGGTGAAGGACTCCCTCAGTTTCTATCAAGGATGTAAGGGAGCCAAGGACAAAGAGACTGAGGGTCTACAGTTTGTAGAGACAGAAGCCCCTTTAAGAGGTAAAACCCTGCATCCTTATAAGAATGTTGCTGATCAGGTCTGGGTGAAGATGTTCACTTGGTGGGTCACTCTCTTTCCCTGGGAAGTCCCCAGACTTACTGGGCTGGGCCATGGGTTAGAGCTGACAGTACTGAGCCCACAGACCTGCAGCCACTCTGCCTCCCCCCACCAGCCCTGGGATCTGGCCAGGACTGCTGTGGGTGGCCAGGTTACCAGAGAGCCATAGCCCTCAAAGGATACTGTAGTGATGGGAATGCTGGGTCTATGGAGCGCCCCCACCCCTGCTCTCGTAGTTAGGCTTCCTTTCAACCCACAGCCTTCATCTGGGGCCAAGCATCTAACTGTGAATGTCTCTGAGTCCCAGAAAAACAGTCGTGGGGCCCTGCAATTCCCTCCCTAGAGGGAAAAGATCTCAGGGTCATTCAGTTCAGGCCCAGGGTTTCCACTTCCAGGGACACTGTGGCCATCCTAGTCAGTGGCCGTGGAGATGAGTACAGAGGTCCCCTGGCTCCCAGCAGGCCTGGGCTCCACACGGAGAGGAAGCCTATGTGCTGCTGTCGTCTCCTCCTTGCCCAGCTCTTGCCTCCATGATCATCACTGCCAGGCTCTCCTACAGATCATTCTGGCCCCAAGAGCCCCTCACCAGCCCCACCAGCACCTTCCTGCTCACACCCTCGCAGCACGTCGGGCACTGCTCCCAGGACAGTCTGTCGGGGTACGTGTCTCCTCCTCCCAGAATTGCTCCAAAATGGAGACCCCAGTGCAGGGGGAGAGAGGGGGGAAACAGGGTCCCTAAAGGAGGTAGAGGGCATCTCAAACCTTCCCTCCCACACCCAATCTGCTTCCCACCAAACCAATACAAACAACTTCCTTTTGACAAGAGAACAGCCAAGTCAGGTGCCTCTTAAAACTGGGTGGAAAAATCAGTGAAACATATTCTTTTTTTCTAGACGGAGGAAGGAGAATACAAACTGATTCTCCAGGAGAATCTTGGAGCAGTGCTGTCTCTGGATCCCACACAAGACGTGTCCGGAGGTAGAATGTGAACTTGAGAGAAGCGTGGCCAAGAGAGGCTGGCCAGGGGACGTATGAGGGGCACATGGGGCATTGGGAGAGGCAGCAGGGGTCCCATCTGGTAGATGTGCCCACCTGGGCAGCCATCAGAGGGCATTTGGGGGTGGCCTCCCTTCACCCTGGCCAGATAGGAGGGAAGAGGCCCCTGTAGGCGCAGAGAGCACCAACAGCCCCTTCACTGAGTCTCAGGAAGAACGTGGCAAGATGACACCCCAGCCAGAGGTTGGAAGCCAAACAGATCCCTTTGTAGGAGTCAGGTGGCTCAGGTGTGAGAGCCCTCAGGGTCACAAGGGCTGCAAGTCTTTAGCAAACATACAGGGTGTGCTACGGCGCCTGCAGGACTGGGCTCCATCTTCCCAGGTGACTCCTTTCCCCCCAAAAGCTGTTGCATCAGGACCCAGGGGCTTAACTTCTATGGGCTCAACTCTGCCATCTAACCTGGGGAGACAGAATTTAGGAATTTTGGAATGCTGGAAATCTATCCACTTTCCTGGCCAGAAGAATGTATGTGTGATTCAGCACAAACGATTTACTATATGAACTTCAATGGCCTGAGCCAGTGAGAGTCATATTAGTTAGCTGCATAGGAAAATTATAGTGCAATTGCTGACAACTGATTTGCCCTTTTGGGCAGCATTCAAGGTTTCATATTACTTTAAAAATCCTCTTTAGGGCTCAAGGGATGTATTTGGCTTTAAAGTTGAGTGATAGGAGTCCTTTAGGCTTGTCCACATGGGAGACCACCGTCTTCGTCCAGCTTTGCACTGGAGAGAGATGAACCTTTCGCCTTCCCTGCTTTTGTGAAACTCCCACCCATTCACTCCAATTCCTTTCAAGCCACCTGGGGGAAGCTGGAGTGAGCTGATATTATCCAGTCAGAATTGGTTGAGGGGTCAGCCAGCTGATGGAGAAAGGTAGCAAGAACATGTCGTTGCCAGGGAGATACAGAAGAAGGCAGTGCCAATCCTGCCTTCAGGAGGCTGAGGGCTCTGTCACTGAGACACATCAGTGTCTTCAACGTGGAACAGACTTGAAAACCAGCTAGAATTTGGCACTTCTCTAGATGCTCTGGGTCTTGGGACCTGCAAGGCCAGGAGAAAGGAGTTCTCTTCCTGTCTCTCCAGCCCCAGTCATACCTAAAAATCTGGGTACTGTGTTTCTCAATATTAGACAGGCATGACCAAATCTTCTCTGAGCTGGTGGTTCTGATACTCTGCTGGGTGAGAATGTCCAGCCCAAATCTCAAGAGTGTCATTTAAGAATGTGACCCCAGTATACTTCTGTGCTGTGGAGCTGGAGGGCTGTCTAAAAAGGCCCCACCCTCACAACACTCCCATTTGGGAAAACTGACGTGGGGTGATGTGGTCGATCATGTCAGGGAGAGGACAGACACAGAGGCTGCGTCTTTACAATCTCACCACTCTTACTGAGAAGGGTCTCCAATCAGTAGGTGAATAGCTCAGGGTCCGTATGCAGGATGGGATGATTCCCATGTGGGTGAGAACAGGTAACCCTGAGAATATGGTTCAAAACCTAAACATAAAATGTGGTCTTCCACCATATGACCCAGCAATTCCAAAAGAATTGAAAGCAGAGACTCAAGCAGGCATTACACAAATGTACACTAAGTTTCATAGCAGTGTTATTCACTATAGCAAAAAGGTGGAAGCAACCCAAATGTCCATATATATGAATAAACAAAATATGGTCTATACCTACAATGGAATATTATTCATTCTTAAAAAGGAAGGAAATTCTGATACTTCCTACAACATGGATGAACCTTGAAAACATTATGCTAAGTGAAATAAGCCAGACACAAAAGGGTAAATATTGCCTGATTCCACTTATATAAGGTACCTGGAATAGTCAAACACACGAAGACAGAAAGTAGAAGAGTGGTTATCAGGTGTTAGGGGAAGGGAGGAATGGGGATTGAGTGTTTGATGGGTACAGGGTTTCAGTTTGGGAAGATGAAAAATTCTTGAGATTTATAGTGATGATGATTGCACCACCATGTAAGTGTACTTAATGCTCGTGAATTGTACACCTAAAATGATTAAAATGTTAAATTGTATGTTATGTATATTCTACCATAATAAAAAAAGAAAGGAAAGAAGGAGGGGGGAGAGATGGGGGGAAGAGGGAAAGAGAAAGAAAGGAAGGAAGGAAGGAAGGGAAAGGAAGGAAGGGAATCC